CACACGCGCGCATCGAAAGCGAGACAGACGACCGCCGCGGGAGGAATCAATCGATAATTACGCCCGCGAGACGAACGTGGCGAGAGCGAGAGCGTGGCGGCGCGTAAACGCGAGCGATGGCACAGGCGCGAAATAGAGAAAAAAACTGGGTGGACGACGTCGATGAAGGGGATGAGGAGGGGAGGGCGAGAGACGAGGGACAGAGGAATAATCGCGTGAATCCAAGATGCAGGCTCATAAAGACACCGCGCAGGAGTCGGCCGAGCTGAGGCGTGCGCTCGGACCGGACTGTCGCATAAAGCCTAAAGCTGATTCGTCACTAAAACGGAATTTGGCAAGGACAGTAGAGTGATCATGTTATTACATGAAACTCCAAACAAGGCCCCTAGCGCAGTGGGGCACTGAAGCAGGACTGGAACATTGATCAGATAACAAACCAGAAGTTTGCCTTATACAATGACCGCCCCTCATTCACTATGGGTCTAACGGTGCACGGCAGAACCTGAAGTCTATCTCACAAATAACCGCCAAACCACATTTTTGGGCGCAAAAAATATTCCAGCAGCCGAAGTACCCGCGATTCTCAGTTAAACTTCTCTTATTAGAAGCGATTCTGAGTAAGCTGGGCACATAAAACGGGCAGTTTTATCCTAAGATTTAAAGGCGAGCCAACTTATGGTTTAGTCTCGTGAAAACAGACGAGCACTCTCTTCGTGCCCCCTTCGTAGACGTACATGCTGACGTCATACACCACCCTTTCCTCATCTGCCCCGAGATAAAAGAGATGGCGCACTCGCCGCTGACCGCCAAGCGCGGCATTTAACACAGAAAGGAGGCCCACTTGTAGAACTAGCGGCACAGGAATCTACTAAAAAAGGAAACAGATCTAATCTTCCAAAGTCTTGAGTAGCACTCGGACCAGAGTTGTCATCAGATTTGCGCCATTTAGCAGTGGTTAAATGTATGCAGGTAAGCAGTACTTACTTGGGCATAATTTGGATGAAGACTTCGGCAGCAGCTAGCCCACTTTATTTATTCACGGTGACAGGATGAAATCCATACGACTGGAACTATCTTTTTGCACAGTGACTGGCTCAATTTAAGACTCGCATCTACGCGTGCTACACACTTATGGTAGCATACACGCAAACTGAAAGACCTCAATAGCTCAGCTCTGCGCATCAATGAAAGCCTCCACAGAAGCTACACCGAAAAACAGCCGTTAAACACCGATCAGTGTTTCTAAGGAGCACCAAGGTATTCCTTTTAGCTGATAAGCGTCCCACCTAAGATTATCAGTAGACTTGGATAGTATAAAACGTTTTAGGTCCATATTGACAAGGAAGAACCTGCAGAATCGGTTCAGCAATATGCCACATCTCGCATTATTGGCAGCTCCGAGTCCAGCCGACTAGGGCCCAGACTTCCCATCTAGACTGCTGTGAGATAAGACTTGCGTCTACGGTGTGCCGTGTGTCCATCTGACCGTTTTTAAGGTGAGAAGAAGCAGATGTGATTGCTGGCACAAGCACTTTATTCGCCTGACGTTTCAGATTCTGTCGCGGATCCATCCTCAGAGACAACAAAAGAAACCCATTTCTGCTATTGTCGCTGATGATGGCAAATAAAGTTCTTGCCCCCATCTGATTCCTCTCATTTTTAAGGCTTAACACTTGGACTTCGACTCCCAGAATAGCCTGTATGCCCGTGGTGCAACGTATTCAAACCTGGATACCCAGTGAACAACTTGTGCTTGATTTGTACTACTTATATTCCTCTGATTAAAGTTTATAACATTATTATATGCTTTTATAATCCTTTTTCTCTACACTCTTTCAAGCGTTCATAAGGAGATGACCCTGGTTTACGTCATATTTGATTTTTTTAATAGTTATATTTTTAATGCGTGTACCATATATGGCGCACATAGCAGTTTGGGACATGATTGCATGTACCACATATGGTGCATGTCGCAGTCAAAGTGTTAAGGGGAAATCACCGTTCGTTTTGGGATCCGGGCGAAAGGCCAAAACACCTAGTAATAAACGCAACGAAGTGGATCATGAAGGGGTTCGGCGTACTTATACTGCCACAGAAATTGTGATGCGGGTCTGTTAGCTACTGCGGCGTTGAAGGAAGCGGGAAGCAGGTTAATGCGACATTTGGTTGTGAAGCGCTTCAGTGCTTTAAAGCATTAGGCGAAAGGTGTGGAAGGTAAGAGCGTTGGTTAGATTGTAGTTAGGCTGCATTGCCAGAAATGCCCTAAACCAGCAAACTGACATTTGCGTTGCATATGCAAGAACTGTGGTGTCAAGATGGTCACGAAGGGAGTTCCGTATATTTTAGGCAGACCTGCATTCTGAAGAAGAAAAAACTGCCCTCCGCGGCCTCTAACCGTACGGCTCTAGCCAAAACGACACCCTTGAATACGGTTCGCTGCCTTGGATCCACTTGGCGGGTTGTCAATCACGCCAACCAATCAGATACACCCTACGGCACTACTTGCCTAGAAAATGGCCTCAACTTAGCATTGCGAGAAGCATGCCAAATGTGTGGGGGTGCAGATGGACGGGCGGAGTGAGCTTTGCTGCAAAAAGCGCAAGCGAGTGTTTAGTTGCAGAACCTGTAGAACCTGCCAAGGCGGGTAGTGGACGCAGTTGCAATGAGAGGCGACGTCCAAGACGAGAGAGCGGACGGTATATGTCGAAAACCTGAGTGGAAATTAGCAGACTCTGTGGTCTGCCAAGAAGCCCTTGCATGGGAGCGGGAAATTGTCGCAAGCCTTGCGATATAGGCACACAAAGAGCAGGGTATCAACCAAAAAGAAAAGCTATTCAAAAAGACATATAAACCAGAAGAAATGGTTGAGTTTAAACGATGCATGATGGCCTAAGGCAATGACGCAGGCAGAATGAGTACATGCATTTTTTTATAAGTTAGCATATTCTAATATGCACTACAATCGGCAGTCATTAGAAGTTGCAGTCTCTTCACAGAAAAAGTTTAGATGATAAAACGTTGTTAAATTGATAGCATTCCTATTCATGGCGAATTTTAGGTGACGGAGAAACCCCCGAACTGTTGAGTACGATATCGGAGTGAAGGAATGTGAAAAAAAAACTACGTCCGGAAGTCTCCTCCAAGAACAAACGCATCGGAAAGTCCTAGTGTTGCCAAAATGTCATCCAACGAATCCACTACGACAGTTTGGACTTTCAGAGACATACTGAGGTTTCCTAGGGATTTGGCAACTTCGAATAACTCGATTAACCCAACTGTGAAAAAATCACGGCCTCTGTGGGAGTCGGACCCACACAGCAAGGAAGGCACTTGCGTAGCCAAGGCTCTACCATTAAGCTACGAGGCTCACCATGCGCCGTGAATTTAATCTCACTTGAGTCGATTTGCTTGCCCAGCTTTACTGAACGTATGCAATCCACCAATACGGACGCAGTAAGTTGATTGTCAGGATGACTGAGGTTTACACAGACTCCAAGCCTCTGTTATATTCACTAACCCATGACCACAGGTACATATCTGTAGAAGTTGAAATGTAGTTATAAATCAATAGTTGATGGTGTTCAGTGGTTACAGAAGATTGCATCACAGTGGACTCATTTCAATACCTATTTAAATAGACAGCTGGTTTCAATAGGAAATAAAACAGGAGCTGTAAAGGACTTAGAACAGCCTAAAACCCGAATTTAGAGTTAGTTCAACCGTTTAGTCAAAGACGGTCCTTGACACGGCCTATTTCGCTAGCAAATGTATAAGCTGAAAATAATTGTCTGTAAGGTATTCGCTGTTCGCCATATAGCCACAACTTACTGTTTAGGGCGCCGAGGTCCAGAGATTCGGTGAGAGAAGCCTGGCGTTTGAGACGTTCAATGTCTGTGAGAAGACGATCACGATCGGATTGGATGACTTCCAGCTGTCGACGCACACGATCCAACTCCGCAGTCAGATGATTCTTCTCCTCAACAACCGTCATCTTTTCGCGGAGGTGCGTCTGAAGTCGCTCGTTGGACTCTAGCAAGAGTTTGTCAACCTGGAGACAAAAAGCCTTGAGTTAGTGTTTACAAACCTAGATTCATTGCTCGGAATAACACTCTTATATAGTCACACGATTTTACCACAGTACGCAATTGAATGTGTAAGTTGACCTTCAGGAGAGCGAAAAGGACGCTTCCATAAGGAACTGAACGGTGGGGATAACATCTTTCCGAATTATTCCTACGACTCCCCCCTTCCCCGGCGACCCAACGTGAATTGAAGCTATTTTTCCCTAAATTTGATGACCCAAACAACGCCGACTGCGAGTAATTCGAAACACTCGTAGGACGGGAGGGAGAGGGACCTTGAAGCTTTTCCGTTGGGTTGTCATTCACTTGGCTAAAGTCAATAATACCGAAACAACTAAGCGGGAATCTAGCATGGATAAAGCATGTGCCAACACGGCAGGTCGTAAGTCCTGTCATGCATGTTGAGTTAATATCACAGTCATAAACGCTGAAAGAGTCCAACCGGAATGTGCTATTTAAGACAGTTACGGCTAGACACACATAAAAATTTTGTCAAAAACCTCCAAACTTTAAATAAAAATCAATATGTGTTCAGCTATAGCTGTAAAGACTGACCGTCATGAGGACTTGCTCAACTGAGGAACAACAGGATCTTGATGATGCGAAAATATGTCATTTATACAGTTCCACTTGGCCTACATCTCAAGTAGGCCAAATTTCCGACCAGCGCGCAGGGTAACCTGGGTGAACCTAGCCATACAAGGACCACCAAATGTGTTTAAGAAGTGCATGGCTAAAGACCAGTTTTTTTACAATTTTCCTTACCAGAAACACTTGCATACACAGTCTGCGGTTTTTTGTTTTAATTAGTCCATGGTCAGAAACATAGAAGTTACTCGTAAATGACACAACTAAGTTCCATTTAAAGGCAAATTAAAGACGGTAACATTGTCCGTAATGTCATTGATTAATTATTAGCACTACGGATTCGAGTTACCGTACAAATGTACAAGGAAGAGATCCTGATGCAGTCATGCATACGAAAAAATAGTTGTAAATCACGCTCAAGCACTTGGATGTCCGGAATCCAGCCAACGGTTCCAATAAGTCAAACTGTAGACCCTGCGAAAATAGAACGAACGGGTCTACTATCGCCATCCGCTGATGGACACTCACCGACCGCGAACGGAACTCATCTGTCCCACTCTGCCTTGGGACGCGACATAGGCCCTATCAGTTGTAACAGCTGGTAGTATAGGCAGATCCTAGTGTAGGCAAAGACAAGGGAGACTGGAATAGCCAGTTGTGGTTTATTAGCCGTCGTCAGCCAGCCATACCCAGACCCAAGTGGCGCTCCAGCAGCGCCTCGAATACGCGACCGTGTTGCTCAGAGTCTAACGCCCTAAACATTAAACCATGAGGTCGTTGTTTTATCAGTTAAGCTCGGGTATATTGACACTTGTTGATGAACGTTCACCGACCGCTAACAGAACTCATTTGTCCCGTCCTGTCTTGGGCCTCGACAGGGGCCCTGACAGAAATGGCAATACTATCTGTCTATACCACCAGGGTCTACTTTTATAGTCTAAGAGGTGTTAAAATAAAACTATCCTACTTTATTCGGTAAGGATGACTTGTATGACCGCCTAGACAGGACATGGGGATAGGAACGCCCCGCCCACTTAAAAGGTGGCCCTGCGATCAACTGCAGGAAAAGTACATATTTCCATGTGTTTATCCTAACATTAACCCTAAAATTAAAATAACTGTAACCTCAATCTTAAACCTAGCCCTACCCTAAACCTACACCCTGCAGTTAACACGAACCCATGCCCTAATACTTAGCATAATTTTGATCCTGATCCTAACTCTCACCTTAATCCCAACCTGGAAAAGTAGCTTATTTAGGGCCACTCATATACCCCTAGTTCCAGCATTTTGTCTTGAAGAAACGGTGCTGATATAGTTTTGAGGGGTGGGGAAATAGGATAGTTAGAAAAGGAAATTTTAGAAGTAAGTGTAAAGTGAAAAAATGTAGTCGAAGTTGCTTCCCGCG